CTATAAGTGCCCTTTGCCTCCTAGCTCTTTCCTCTATTTCCTTTTACTTTCCTCTTGTCCCACTATCATGCTCAGCCTTCATTTGGGTTTCAGTAATTACTCTCGGTTACATTGCCCTTGATCAAGCCTTACCAGGCCTACTAAACCCTCCTCGCCATCGATTTTGGATCGCTTGTTGTTGCCTTGCTCCTGGGTTTGTTAACACCCACTTCCTTTCCCCTGCCTCCCCCTCTCCAATGTCCCCCCAGAACCATCGGTCCTGTCGTTTTCTCCTCCAGATTGCAATCCATACTGAAGACTCTAGTCTTTGATCTTCTTGCAAGCAAGAGTATATATCTGCATATCACAGGTTGCTAATGAGTCTTCCTCCAAGCCTGATGCCAGTTTCTTCTTTATATTCCATCTCAGATTCTTTGCTCAGTACACGAGGGAGCTTCAAAAAGTTTTTAAGAAACTGCCATTTTCCACTTTTTGTGGCTTCCTCATATGGATTGAATAAGTATTATCAAATAATACCACCCTGATGCACACAACTTCCTTGATTTTAAGTCACATCGTATCCCTGTCTTTTGTTTGACTGATTGCCTGTCTGGTCTTGGTCTGTGCACAAATTCATATGAGTATAGTTAAGGGTCTGGGGCCATAATTCGTTATGATCCACACAGTCAAACGCCTTTGCATCGTCTGTAAAACTCAGGTAAGCATCTCTCGGGTCCTTATGTGTAGTAGGGCAATGTTCTATTTGTGCATGATTCCTCAGATTCTTGATACTGTCATTTAGGTCAGTAACTGGTTTGGATTGACTGATAATAATAGTATTTTTGAGATGTTTATTTTGTGGATATAACATTACTAGAATTATACCCATAAGAAAGTCTTTTATTTCTCAATATTTTTGAAAACATAGTTTGATCTAATTTTAGAAACCACTACATTAAAGTTATGTATTGGAATCTTAAAGATGACCGGCTTGCTAAGTAACATTGACGAATGTGAATAGGTTTCAGTTTTACACCAGATTTAATTATCGGACAATCTGATTGATAGCAATGATTGTATTTCTCATTTCCATTTTAGCATGTATTTATTATTAGGAAATAATTCATGGAAAGCCTAATCCCTGGCACAAGGCAGAATCAGTTTGTATTATGTGATAATCATCTTTGCCACGTTCTTTGCACACTTAACCCAACCAAATCATGAACTGTAGCCTGTTCTTTACATGCTTGCAATAATGCAATCACACTATGTTTGCGTGGTTTTCCCTTCTAGTCAAATTACCATGAGAAACTTTTCCTGTTGTGACAACTGGCCTTACCTAAAAGAGTATGTATGTGCCTTGATGCACACTTGGAGCCCCAAACCAGCCTCTAGTAAGAGAGCTTGTCTTCTTCTGGCTTGTATTATACTAGAAAAGGTTCATTGAAAAACTAATTTTTAAAATATTCTCAACAAAACATTACTATTTGACTAATGCCTGGCACTTGCGTGGTGGTCAATCTGTGATGACTATGTAATCACCCTTTTTATTAACGTGGAATGACACAGTCACATACAGTGAGGGAACTTCTGGAAACACAGCACTGGAGTGGGGAAGGGCAAAGAGTCAACGAGCCACGTGTCATGGGCCATAAGCTATGCTGCTCTGTGGAATGACGTCAGTTTGTAATTTTATGGACAAGTACTTGGTAAAGGAGTTGAGTTACACCGATGATACTGTTTTATAAGACAATGTGAACATAGGTTTTTAAAAAACACTGGGTCCAGAACCACCAGCTACTGGAGGGAGAAAGATGGGCTTTCTACTCCCGAAGCGTCTCAGTCAAAGAAACCCACGGGGCAGCTCTACCCGGCCTGTAGGGTCGCTATGAGCCAGCATCAACTCGTTGGCAGTCAGTTTGGATATTTCCTGGTATAGCAGATCTCTGTCTTGGAAGAGGTGCCCCCAGAAGGCTTCTTGGAAGCGGGGTTGATGAGGCTTGTCTCACATAGTTTGGACATGTTATCAGGAAGGACCAGTGCCTGGAGAAGGACATCCTGTTTGGTAAAGTGGAGCGTCAACCAAAAAAGAGGACGACCTGTAAGGAGACAGCTGACACAGCTGTGACGAGGGGGGTCACACATAGTGATGACTGTGAGATCTTACAGGACCCAGTAGTGTTCCATTCTGTTGTACGTAGGTTACCATGAGCTGGAACTGACGATAGTACACACCAATAAAAACAGCCGTTTTGAATATTGTAAAAAAGGGGAGGGGAAAGAATTTATTAGGAGATTTATCCCAGAATGTCTTGAGAACAAAAAAAAACTGGTGTTGCCTTTCTATTTGCAAACTTCATCTTTCTCTAAAATAGTTGGTTAAAATTTAGGGAGCTAACCCTTTTTTAACCCTTTCTTAATTCTTCCTTATCTGAGACTCATTTAGAGAATTGAATCACTTCCTACTGCTTCATGGGGCTTTAAAAGCAATCTAATCTTCTACCCTAGATCCAGAGGAACTTGGCCTCTGATTGTTTTCTGTAAGCCACAGCGTTAATTTATTTGCTCTCAGTGTGATTTTGTATCAATATAGCTATGTCAGCATAACAATTCAGTAGCCCCCAATATTTTCCTTACAAATCACTGGTGTATGTGTGTCTTAAGCTTTCCCCGGTTCATGTGGCTTTCTTGTGGGTGTTACTGATGGGAAGCGTCGCCAATCAAAGACGAAGAACTGGAGGAGAGGTGGGAACTGTAGTTCTTTGGTCTTCCTCCCCGCGGTTCCACTCGTCGTATGTTCCCTTAGTGCCTTTGCCATGAGAAAACCATGTGTCTTCTAATCACAGGACCTGCGTAACTTCCACAGCTTGTGTTCCTTGCAACTTGCTGTGATTGTGCTTTTTTCAAACACTGGAAACAGATGCCCATCTTTTTTCCTTTTATATAACATCTTTTTCTCCTTCATGCAAGGATTAGAAGTATTATTGCAGATAATAAAGATGCTGTCACTGGATAAGGGAAAAGATGAGCAATAAAAACTATATATCAAAAATGATTCTTGCCTTCCCCCCCCCCAAAAGTTCTATTGGCATATAATTCACATATCGTACAATTAAATCGTTCAGTCACATCCAGAAGAGTTGTACAGTCATCACCACAATTAGTTTGAGAACGTTTCCTTCGTTGTTGTACTCATCATTATCAGCTCCCCACTCACTGCCTCTCCCCGTCCCTGCCCCCCCAGCCTCTGCTGCCAGACCCCAAGGTACCCTTAATCCATACACATAGATTCACCTGTCCTGTATTTTACAGTGACTCTTGCTCTTGCAGGTATTTTGACAGAGACGTAAAATGCATTCAAGATTTCTTCATGAAACGTTTCACCTATGAAAGTGAGCTTTATCCGACCTTTAATGATATCAGGTTAGTTCTCTTCATCGCTGAAAATTGAGAGGGCTCTGTTTAAATAGCTCAATTACTTCATTCTAAAAGGTAGCACTTTGATCTAAAAATGTTCAAATAGTATTCAAAGCTTAAAACAAATTATCAAAGACCTTTGATAATTGTAGTCATTGTTGAGTATCATTGCTGTATTGCACACATCTGAAACTAGAAAATATCTATCTTTGGCCATTTAAAACACTTAATAAGTTTGGGGAGGTACATAACCTAGTTTCTTTTAAGTTCAACAACTTGTATTTTAGCTATTGGAATAACTCATTTCTAAGGAATAATCCAAATATGTTCATATTTTGTGTTTGTTTTTTTCTTCAGAATAGCAGCTGTGGTAATTGATTCATGACAAAATTATTAGGTACATTCTCAAAGCGTAATTTCCTCATTTGATTGAGAAGATTCACATAAATTAAGAGGAAAAACTCTTTAGACTCAGCAGCTCCCATTGAAAGTAAATTTATTAAAGCCTGTTGTTTTATTCTTAGTTGTTTCGTAGTTGTTTCATTCTTAAAATGACAACCAGACTGTATCTTTTACATTTGTATGCATACATGATTTAAATATTTAAGTGTGAAGAAAATCTTTCAAATCTATCCACACTGTTAAATTACCCGAGTTTATCAGATTATAGTTTAAGTATTTATCCACGTCATCCATCGATGGTGTTCTTTGTCTCGCTTTCAAAGTTTTTTTGTTTTTTTATTTTTTCCCCCTTCTCCCTAGGAGGGAAGACTCTCTTGATGTAGAAATTTCTGCCAGTGGCTACACAAAAGAACTGCAAGCAGATGATGAACTGCTTCATCCATTAGGCCCAGATGAGACAGATACTGAAACAGATGAAGGATCTGAAGCCTCACTCCCTGATGAAGAGGTGTCAGGGGAAGCACAGGTCGGTGGGTCGGAAAGTGAACCCAATTCAGAAGGCTGCAGTTGCTTGCCACCCGGAGACCTGGAACAAACAAAGGAAAACAGGCTGTCACAGGAGAGCACTGCTGCGCCCAGCTTGGAAATGACGGGATTCCTCCAAGCTTTAGGGGAAATCAAAGAGCAAGTTGGTGAAAACAGTTATGGAACTGAGTTTTCTCGGGGGAAAATCCGGACTGAAAATGGCACCAGACAAGAGAGTCAGGCGAGTCCAGGAGGAGCCCCTGCTGCCTCTGAGGATTGTGACGAATGCCCGCACCTGGCCGCCTTGTCCTCGTTAAACAAAGAAGTCAGGCCTTTCAGGTATTGCTGGTCGGCCTTTTTAACTTTGATCTTTAAAACAAGTACTTTATCCATTCTAGTGAAGGGCGTGTTTTTCAAAGGATGTGGCAGCTTTGAATTCATGCATCATTATCAAAACCAAAAGCAAATTAATGGCTTTTAAAGTTAATGTGATGCTTAACACATTTGATTGAATTTCAAGCGATTAATCTGTTTCAAAATACAAACTAGACTTTCCAAGAATTAATATAGGTCTCTTAATAAGTTGATAAGGCTTTAAAATTAATAGATTGTTTTTCATGTATTTTTATAATCAGATATGTATTTTATTTATACATAGGTCAATGAACATGCAGAAGATAAGCTCTTTACATAAAATATTTGCTTGCAATAAATTTTCTCTCACACATTGAAGCTAGGGCTTTAATAAGTTCTCCTTGGCTCATTCGTGGCCAAAGAAGCAAAAGTGGAACAGACCTGAATTTTTTTTTTTATTTGAGCGATGTGGAACGGTAACCACAATGGGAGACAGTAGGGTTAAAACCTGGCGGAAAACGTAATTCACCCCTAAGAGCAGTGAAGGCTCCACAGGTTGCATAGCAACCAAGTCTGTGCTGTCAGAGTCGGAAACCGCTGTCCCCTTGCAGGAGTACCGTCCTGTCTCCCTTACTGCCAGGAATGTGCCCTGCTCTCCGGCTCCCGCACCAGGCTCTTTGAAGGGCTCACTGTCCCTCACCCCAGTCTCTCCTTTCAGGGCTTCAACCACAAGTTTCCCCATTCCACTTCTTGTTAAGAATCTCCCAAATACTTGGAATTTGCTTTGTTCGACTTTCTCTTTGTCAACCACGACTGAACCTTTTGAACCTATTTTAAGACCCACTTGAACTTTCTGGTTCATGTATAGTTAAAATTATCTAGTAGCATTATTCCAGGTTTTAATCAGATTCATCTTAGGTTAGCAATACATCTAAAAAATTTTATTTGGGATTGCATATCCAAATCAAATAGCTATAGCTTAGTGACATATGGTTCTATTTTTTCAGAATGATAACTGAGTAAATTAGATCAGCTGTACATTTCCTAGGCTTTCCCCAATAGATGCATGTTTTACTTCCATCCTAGGGCTGGTTTTATCTTGAAAGTTGTGTTGTGAAACAAGTTGCATGAGAATTTTGTTCCTTTTTCATATAGCACTGTATCGAGCCTTAGAACTGTTGTCATTTAAGTAATAACCAAGCAAAATTAAATGAAATCAGAAGCTTATGAAAGTAGCGGGTTTTGAGAACTGGTACAGACTAGAGTCTTCTGAGCACAGAATAGTAGTAGTGTGTGCTCACTTTTTGCACATGCAGAGCACGACTGTATTAGCCGAAGTAAAGGCACCTGTGGCTGTGGAGTCGAGTCCGGCTCAGCGGGCCGGTGGCCCTGGCCTGTAGGTTCCCAAGGCCGTCCTCGTGAGGAGAGAGGCTGCCTCGGGGAAGCTCGGGTTCAGGCTGGCAGGCCGTGGGGTAACTGCTGAGCGCTGGAACACAGCAGTGCCAGTAGAAATACAAAGTTACAAGAGTTAGTATTGTCTGGGTTTCTTTCACATGATATGTCTTGAAAAACTGAGTCTTGGCAACAACTGGTAAGACTGTTTCCACAGATGCCACTTTTTCCGTCCCAGCAGAGATGACTATGTGGAATGCGATCGCTGTGTCCATTGTAGTCAATCTGTTGTTGTTTAGAAAGGAGGCAAGAAATGGTGTCAGGGTGACAGCGTGAGAGGCAGATTTGTTCACACCTGTGGGGAAGAGGGGAAGAATGATAAACAAACTTTTGGGTTCAAAATTTTGATTGTTACTCTAACTCTCAGAAAGTTGAGAAATACAAACCCCTGGTATTTTGGTCTGAATTACAGGTGGTTTACTTATAGCTTTACAATTTGAGTGTATTTTATATATATTCATATTTCTGAGGTAGTTATCTTTGGGTTTGACTGTCGTGTAAGTCATTATTAACTAGATAAATCATTATGTGTTTTTGTTGTAGAGATGATGAAAATATGGGCGCTATGAGTCCGCATAGAGCAAGAACACTGAGTGTCACTTCTGCAGACAGTATCGTAAGCTGTTCCACAATTCCCCCGGTAACTACTCATCTGACACTGACCAGGTGTTGACGGTGACTACCCGGGAGCGGGGTCCTGAGCACAGTCACTGAAAGGACCACAAGGCCACTGGGGCCTCACAGGTCCATGGTATAGCGTTGTAGCAGGTACAAATGTAATCCTCATACAGCCGCAGGTGCACTTGTAGCTGGACCATGAACAACTTTGTGGGGAAAATGAGCATGTCAGGTAGCTTGAACTTGAGGGATAAATTATAGAACTTTAATCCAAGTGGGACTTTGTAGATCCTCGTGTGGACCAGTCCCTGCTTTTTCATGATAGGCAAAGTAGGGCCCGACCAAGTAACGTGGCTTAGCTTGAAGTCACCCAGCTAGTAACAATGCAGAGACACTAGCTAATTTGTCCATACATTTTGAAGGAGAAAAATAAAATTTTAAATCTCTGGTTTTTCAACTTTCCATGATGTAGGATCCAAAGAAATTTCAAAAGGAACCTTATCTGGTCAGTGTAAGGAATAGAGAATCCAGTTCCTGCCCCCGAGCTTCCTTTCCTGCCACCCCCTCAGAGCCACGCGGAGGGGTGGTTGGCTCTGTGTACTTTCAGGAGAGAGATGGCTCGCTCTTGGGTGACTTTAGAGAGGCCTTCTCCCCCCCAGCTCTGCCATTCTCACGGGCCTCTGTAGGGGCTGCCACTCCTGATCTCTCTGTCACTAGTGTTGTGAAGATGGGCCACTCTTATTTGCCATTTGGGAACAATAGGAATTTCCAAATAGTGTGATTCTTCTGAGTAGAAAAAAAAGCTCTTCTTGATTTTCTTACGCAGTGACTTTCCCGAGTCCTTTTAGCAACCAGTCAATGAACACGTCCTGCAAGCCAATAATACCACACTGTTTCCTAATCTGATTTTGGATTAGGCAGTGATTAGTCTTCCAAAGCTGTCAACCATGAACGAATACGATCCCCAGAGAAATACTCCTTCAAGAATGAGGGTGAAGTTAAAATATCCCCAGACAACAGGAGCTGAGAAAGAGTTCATATCAACGAGACCAGCCCTGCAAAATATACTACTCCAGATGGAAGAAGAAATATACCAGAAAGTAATTGAAAGCAATACATAAAAAGAAAGACAGACCCTCAGTAAAATAGCCGTGTGGATCAGTCTGAGTACCAGTAATACGTGTGTACGCTTGACCATCGCAAGTGCTTCGCTTTCAGGCTTTCTAGTGACAAAAACAAGACATGCAATTTGAAGATGCGAATGACAACATGAGTTATGGGAAGGTATGGTTTAGGTATAGGATTGCTTGTATGTTACTGAAGTTATATTGGTTCCACCTGATCATGCCAAAAAATAAACTAGTGAGCCTGCCATCACGTCAAGTCTAACTTACAGAGATCATGTAGGACAGAGTAAAACTGCCCTTTTGGGTTACCAAAACTGTAAATCTTTAGGGGAGCAGAAAACCTCAATTAGTACCATAAAGCAGCTGGTGGGTTCAAACCACTGGCCTTGCAGTTGCATGCCAACGTGTAATCCACTGTACCACCAGCGCTCCTTCAACTGGCCATAGAATTGTAAATACAAGATGCCGAGTGTAATTGCCATGCTCATGTAACCACTAGGAAATGTCTAGAAAGTACAGAGAAAAAGGAGAAAGGAAACAAAAAGCCTCCTGTCAATCAAAATGGCATGAGGTAATGTTTATCAGTAATCGCAATGGACATAAACAGATTACATGCACCAGTCACTAAGCAGAAAATGGCAGCTGAAATTAAAAATAAAAAACATAGCCCAACTGCATTCTCTTTGCAAGAGACACACCTTTGATCCAAGGACACAGGTAGGTAGAAAGTGAAAGAATATGAAAAATATACTCGTGCAAATAACCCCAAGAAAACTGGAGTGACAGCACTGTATCAGACCACAAAGTACTAAACGAGAAGCTATGGCTTCCCGGCATGGTAGCCTTCATCCGGTCTGTACTTCTGAGAGTGTTTCTGTCGCTCTCACCCCTCCCCAAGGAGTTCTGTGCTCTTTATTCACGTCAGACACCACTTTTGGCATGCACAGGGAGCTGAAAACTCTCTCTTAAACGTTCTTTGAGCTGGGGAACAAAGTGAAGTCAGAAGGGGAAGGATCAGCACTGTAAGGTGGGAGGATAAGGTTTCCCCGTAAAACATAAGTCATTGGTGGCCTCAAAGAATGAACAGGTGCATTGCTGTGATCGGTGAGAACGAACAAAAGTACTCCTTTGGAATCCGGGAAAACAATCCCCGTCATTTTCTGAGCTGACCTCTACTTTGAATTGGTCTGACATAACACATCTCCGAAGCCACTGTTTCAATTGGACCCTTTTTTTTTTTGAAGGGTAGACTCTAATGAATCTAAGACAAGTCTAGTACTGAGAGGATGTGTCTGCACTTATCCAGGACCACAGAGACGTGGTTAGCTTAGAATAAACCCATACACTTAGGAACTGGCACCGTAATAGCAGTACTTTTTGACTTGCCATTGTATTACACCCAACATCAGAGTACCCAGGTATTTAAAGGGAAACTACCTATCGAACTGGAGAGAGAAATAGAATATTACAGCAATAGTTGGTGACTTCAGTACTTCACTTTCACCATAAACAGTCAAACCGTGGACTTGTTTTACTTTTCCTCATCTTCAACCTGAATTTGCATTTGAACAATTGGTGGTCTCTTCCATAGTCAACCGTTGGCCTTGGTTTGGCAGGTGATACCAAGCTTCTCTAGTCTCTTCCCGTAGAAAATTTGATTTTTATATATTCCATCTGGCAAGGTCCATGTGTATCGTTGCTGTTTATATAATTGGAAAAGTATTTGCAATGAAGCAGTCATGCTATCATACTTGATAGACAGCTGTAAACCTGTAAAAAGTTGAATTGGCAAATGTATTTGTGATATATCAGGAGGCTTCAAAATTTCCATTCCCTTTTCAGCTCCCTCATTTGTGTAGCCAAGCACCGTGAGATTTGGTTTCTTCATATGAAGGAAGGGGTGGGCTCAGCTTCATGGCACCCACTTACTTGGCCTCATGGTTTTGAGTGCTCGTAAAGCTTGTGGTGGCGATCCATTGGCGGTCCAACAGTTGATCTCTCTGCCTGGAGCAATAAAGGGAGGAATCGAAAAATGAAATCGAATGTGTGGCTGGTTTTCCTCATGAACCAGCCCTCGTCATGAGACCAGAACAGGGGGGCACCTTGCACCCAATACTGACCGTTTGAATCCTTGATTCTTCCACGGTGTGATCCTTACCCAAAGGGGGTGAAATACAGAACAATATTTTAGATTCTACCGGAATCCAGTCTTTCTGGAATCTGGAACTACTGAGTCTCGTTGAACCTTCGAAATCCCTGCCTTTCGGACTTTAAAAAACCAAGACTATCCGCTGAAGTCATCCGGACAGTAGTTTAATTAATAGAGAATGTCTCTCTTGAGCAGTGTGCTCTTCTGAATAACTCTGTAACAGACGCCACGAGGCCAGAGTAACGCGAAAAGCCTTGGGGAGACTCAGTTGTCAGAACGTATGTTAATTGAGGGGGAATGTTACGTGTGCAGAAAGGAGGATGGGAACAGTTGCAGGACCTGAAGAATATAATCAGTTTCGCCAATTATACATGTAGAAATCATTGAGGTTGATGTACATTTTTAATGAGAAAAATTAAGTAAGTCCTGTTATAAGTGCAGCTGGTGTTTTGACTAAGAAGAAAGTTAAATGAATGGCAGTTCACTGTGAGAAAGCATTTTATGTACATCCCACAGAAATCCTATGAAAGGTTCTCTCTGGGCATCGGCTGCCATTTATATACCATTAGTTGTAAGACTACACTTGAATGTGTTTTGATCCATAGTAAATGGTGCAATTTTTACTTAGAAATAGTGCAAATTTTACTTAGAAAACAGGCGTTTTTCGTGATGGACACTAGGTGGCGCTGTGGTCACTTGCTCCTCTATGAAGAAGTAATCCTCTACACTGCTTTTTGTTCTATCCATATTTCTGTTAGGAAGTTAACTTTTACTGTTTTGTTGCTGGTGTGTGTAGTTATATCAGTGATGTGATGGGAATTTTTTAATGCATGCTCTCAACATCGTTTTGGAAGATAAATTGTTACTGACAATTACTCATGGAAATGGGATGATCAATACTAATTTAATAAACCTTCTTTTCAGGAACTGGTGAAGCAGAAGGTTAAGCGTCAGTTGACAAAACAGCAAAAGTCAGCCATCAGACGCCGGTTGCAGAAAGGAGAAGCAAATATAGTCACTAAGCAACGAAGGGAAAACATGCAAAATATTAAATCAAGCTTGGAAGCGGCTAGCTTTTGGGGAGACTAGTAAATTTATGATCTTGGATATTTCTGATATGTTTAAATTTTTCACCTGTAATCTTTTGGGGGGACCAATATGACCATGAACATAAATAAATCCCATCCTCTTCTCCCCCACCCCCTTTTCTTTTTTCTTCTATAAATTTGGCTTATTCAGTGTGCGTTGCTCATGGACTAGTTCCAATTCCCCTGAAGCAACCCAGTGTTTTCAAAGTCATTTGGGTGATTATGGACAATTCGCTAAAGATCGTTTTTCAAAACGATGTTTATTATATTGGGCATTTTAAATTATATTTCCTGGTTACATACAGCTCGTGCTTTTTCTCTTTTATTATATAAATTTCTCTCACTTTGAAACAAGTGAACCAATCCCTGCCTACTTTTGTGCAACAAAGCCTTCATCACAATCACTTCACCAGTCGTATGTGCAGCAGGCGTGAAGTCGCTGTGGGGGCAGGCAGCCTGGCCTTGGAAGGCTGTAAAGGACCACATGTATTGTTCTGACAACTTAGAAATTCATCTTCAGGCTCCACTTACTAGTGTCACATCCCAGCATTTCTGCCTATTGGTGGAGACAGCCAAGCTACATTTTCCTCGCTCAGCTTTCCTACAACTGGTTATTTTGAGGGCTAAATGAGGTAACATACCAAAGGTACTTTGAACATTTCCTAAAATGCTACTGACAAGTGGTGGTTTGGTTTTTTTTTTTAAATCTCTGAAGTCATTACCTCCCTCACCCCTACACGTCTTGTAATCTGATAGTAAAAATGCATCAGTAATTGTGCGAAACACAGGAACAGAGACATTTGAAATATAAATGTCCAATAAGGCAGAAAGCCAGCATTTACTTATGCAAGCCTCGTTACAAGCCTTTATCTGCATCAGCTCCTTTAAATCTCAATACTCCTAGGTAGGACTTTAGTCATCCCCTAACTGTAGACAGTAAACTGAAGCACAGAAAAACCCTGAAATTTGCCTAAAGGTCTACCCAGACAATCTGCCACCAGGGTGTGTAGTTTTACACTATATACTGGATGGCTTTGTAGCATGAAAAATGTACACGCTGGCTAAATAACAGTGCATAAATTAACATGGTTGATTAATTAAGTTCTATTAAAAAGCAATGAGTCAAGAATCCCTCATTTTATCTAGATTATTTTCTGCCCCTGACACTGGTAATGTGGCCCAGGAACCACAGTTCATACTTTTGCCGGCCTTCAGACTCAGAAAAAAAGAGCCAAGGGTTAGGGGAGGCAAAGTGATGGTGAAGAAAATCTCAACCGGGCGAATCCAGAACATGTTCTCATTTCAGGCTTAGCACGGAGTGTGTGAAAGGAAAATAAGACACCCCCTGCTGTCGAGTAGATGCCACTGAGTCCACTGCTATCCGTAACGCCGTTACGCACCACAGTGAAAGCCTGGGCCTGCGCCAGCCTGTTCTGTGCCTGAGCTACTGCCCTTTCACCTGGAGCACACTCCTTCGCTGCCCCTCTGACAATGATGTCATCCTCCAGGGGTGGCTCTCAGGATGTGTGCAAAGCGTTCTAAGGAGCATGTTGGCTTTACTTCAAGACATTTGTCCTTTTAGCAGTCCATGGTTCTTTCAGTAGTCTGAACCACAATTCAAACACCGATTCTTCTGTCTTTTTCATTCGATGTCCAACTTCCACATGCACATGAGGCCTTTGACAGTACCATGGCTTGGATCAGGTACACCTTAGTCCTCAAAGCAACATCTTTTATATTTTGTTTGTTTTTTTAATTGATTTGAATGACAATCCTCGGGTTCCCTTTTTTTCAGCGTGGGGGATGGTAAAGGCTTTCGGGCTCATCCCCTGTATGTTTTTTTGTTTTGTTTTCTGTTTGTTTTTAAATCATTTTATTGGGGGTTCGTACAACTCATCACAATCCATGCATACATCCATTGTGTCAAGCATTTCTTGGTATCAGCTCCTCATTTTCCCCCTCCCTTGATAATTTATAAATTATTATTTTGTCAGGTCTTACACTGTCTGAGGTCTCCCTTCACCCACTATTCTGTTGTCTATCGCCCAGGGAGGAGGCCACATGAGATCCTTGTAATCGTTCCCCCTTTGCTTTTCAGTACTCTGAAGAGGTCTTCTGAAGCTGATTTACCCGATGCAACTCCCTTTGATCGCTTGACAGCTGCTTCCATGAGCATTGATGGCGGATCCGAATAAGACAAAATCTTTGACTTCAACCTTTTCTCCTTTTATTATGATGTTACTCTTGGTCCAGTTTGGGGGTCTTCCTTACATTGAGTTGTAATCCATACCAAAGGCTGCAATCCTTGATCTACATCAGCATGGGCTTCAAGCCCTCACTTTGAGCAAGCAAGGTTGTATCCTCTTTGTATCTCAGGTTCCATAAGCCTCAAATCTTGATGGCACATTCTTCATATAAACCAGCTTGTCTGACGATTGCTCAGCATACAGATCAAATAACTATGGTGAGAGGACACAGTACTGTTGTACACCTTTCCTGATTTTACAGCATGCAGTGTTCTCTTATTAACGTTCGTACAACTGCCCTAAAGGACCGTAGAATTACCCCATAGTTTCCAAGGCTCCATTTCTCTATAGAAACGTCCTACATCTGTCTGATGTGTTCAAAGCACCTTTAGCGTTATAATCAAGTGCTTTAACCACCGTGACACCAGGGTTCCTTATAAGACAAGATCCTTCCCTTCAGGACTTAATAATCTAGTGACATGTGAGGAGGGAGTGACAAATAGGAGTCTGATCCTGTCTGCCTAGGAGCTCAGAAGAGAGCCGTTAGCGGAAAGTGGCCACTAGGTGGCAGTGCCACCACGGTCACAAGACGCCACAACAACCCCCTGCAGTGATGTCCATTCAGATTCCTCATGACCCCCGCAGACAGACTGGATCTTTATAGGAGCAAACAACCCCATCTTTCTCCTGTGAAGCAACAGGTAGGTTTGGACTACGGCCTTTCAGTTACCAATCTAATGCCTAATCCACAGTGCCAGGTCTGTGGCCTAAAAGAAGGGACCTAGCAGGTTCTTTCCAAAGATGAGTAAGGAAAGCAGGTTCACCTTTGCAAAAGTCTATTTGCAGCGCCTAATAAGGTCATTTCAGTGCATAAATGCAAGACAACATCAAAAGTTGAAAGTTAAGATGAGCATATTGTCAGAAGTGCAGGTGATGCAGTTCAAGTACTCAGTTGCTAACTGGAAGGTTGGCAGTTTAAAGCCCACCAGCTGTTCTTCAGGAGAAGGATGAGGCGCTGTTGGATTGTAGTCTTGGAAACCCTGCTCTGCCCCAGGGGGTCACCATGAGTCAGAATGGACAGTCCTCTGCAATCCTCGTCATTGTTAAAGTTTGAGCCATTGTCACATCACTATGTCAAGCCATCTCCTCAAACTTTTTTTGTTGTTGCTGATTCTCTACCAAGCAGGATGTCCTTCTCCAGGGCCTGGTCTTGTCCGCAGTAAGGAGAATTCTAGATGTACTTGTTTGAAGACTGTTTCCTCTGGCACTCCATGGTACTTTCAATGTGTTTTGCCAACACTCTAGAGCCTAAAACAGAACAATGTAGTCAAATACACAAATCTGAAGAAAAAAATTCAAGTTGTGGAAATGGAGGAGTCTAACAGCATTTGGCCAAAGATTAATGCTGAATACTAAAGATTTAATAATCTGATGTTAAAGATATCTCCCACTCCCACCCCAGGGTATGTTGTAGGTATGGTTATTTGAAAATCAGAGTCAATAAGTTAGTTTTAAAGAGGTTTGGGATCTGGAGTCTGTTCTTTTTTGCTCACTGCCATCGAGTTGGTGCTGACTCACAGCGACTCTACAGGACAGGGTACAACTACCCTTTTGAGTTTATGAGACTAACTGTTTACGGGAGTAGAAAGCTCCATCTTTCTCCAAGGAGCAGCTGGTGGTTTCAAACTGCTGACCTGGAGGATCACAGCCCAATGTGTAACCACTACATCAGCAGGGCTGCTGTTCTTTTTAGATGCCATCACGGAAGTTCTGACCCATAGCAACCGTATGCACAACAGAACCAAGCACCACCCTGTCCTGTACCACCTCACAACTGTTCCTGTGCTTGCGCCCGTTACTGCAGCCACTGTGCCAGCCCAGCTCCTGGAGGGCCTTCCACTCCGGCACTGCCCCTCCGCTTTGCCAAGCCTGAAGGCCTCGTCCAGGACCTGGTCTCCTGACAACACATCTGAAGAACGCAGGACAAAGTCTTGCCATCCTTGCTTCTAAAGAGCATTGTGGCCTTACTCCTTCCGAAACATCGATGTGTGTCCTTTTTAGCAATCCATGGTACTTTCAAGATTTTTCTCCAGCACCACAATTCAAATGCATCAGTTCTTCTTTGGTCTTCCTTAGTCGGTGTTCAACTTTCACATGCGTGTGATGCAGTGGAGACTACCATGGCTTGAGTCAGGCACACCTTAGTGCTCAAAGTAGCGTCTATGCTTTTCAATACTCTAGAGAGGTCTTGATTTACCCAATGAAACGCATCTTTTGATTTCTTGACTTGTTTCTATGAACATCGATTGTGGATCCAAACAAGACAAAATACTTGAAAACTTTACTCATTTCTATAGATTGTGTAGAAAAGTTAAGTTTTTCCCTATCAGACTAGTTGTAGCACTCACATCCAAACAGCGAAAAATTATCAAATACGGGGAAAGGCAGCTTCTTTCTAATGTAAAACTGTATATTGTGATTGTTAATAAGATAGTGTGGGTTTGGTTTGGTTGGGGGGGGGGCAGAGAGAGTTGTTTGTTTTGTTTTGTTTTGGGAGGGGTGCGGGCAGAGAGAGACCCAAACTTATGGTACATTGAAAGCAGTTAACCAAAAACAAGACTCCAGGAATTGATGGAAACCAATTGAAATGTTTCAACAAGCTGACGAAGCCCTGGAAGCACTCACTGTCTATGCCACGAAATGTGGAAGACAGCTACCTGGCCAACTGACTGGAAGAGATCCAGATTTGTGTCCATTCCAAAGAAACATGATCCAACGGAATGCCACAATAACAGAACAAAATCATTGTTATTACTTGCCAGTAAAATTTTGCTAAAGGTCATTCAACAACTCTTGCAGCAGTCC